GTAGGGAATTGTCCCTCTGCAGAGATAAACTATTTCAGAAAAGGAATATATGCTGAATCCCCCCTCTCTGATGCAAATGTCCCTCAGAGATTGAGGACTTCAGACTCTTCCACAGAAACTGAGGATTCAGGACTTTCCTCCACAGAAAGGGTGGACTCTGAGCACCCTCCTCCCTAGAGACTCAGGACCCTGACTCCTTACCTCAGAAACTAAGGATCATGGGGCCCCACACCCTGGGCAACAGCTACCAACACCAGCCACCAATCACTTTGTACATGCCTCCAAGGGCCCAGAGCCACCAGCCCATGCACTGTGGTTCATAGCTGGATTGTGGAAAGTGTGATGGTGGGCAAAATAGCATAGTCCAGGATCTCATCAGACTTCTCATCAGAAGGTGGAGGTATCTTATGGCCTTCCAGATGTTTTTTTGTTTTCATCTTCATTAACAACATAATTCCCACTTACACATCATATTTCATGTATTTCTCCTATTTCGCATTTCTTCCTACAGTAGCCTACTACATTATTAAAGCATTTTGTGAAACTTTATTTTTTAAATCCTCTTAGAATTAGGTTGAAAATACCCACACAGCTTTCCGATCTGCCATTTGCGGTGGGACTGCCACCAAGATGCAGATTTTCATAAAAAACCCTTACAGGGTAGACCATCACCCTCGAGGCTGAACTGTCAGATACAATAGAAACTGTAAACGCCAAAATTTAGGATAAGGAAGGAATTCCTCCTGATCAGCAACGACTGAATTTTGCTGGCAAACAGTTGGAAGATGGACGTACTTGTCTGATTACAACATCCAAAGGGAGTCCATGCTTCATCTTGTGTTGAGACTTCGTGGTGGTGCTAAGAAAAGAAAGAAGAATAAGCATAAGAGAAAGAAGGTTAAGCTGGCTGTCCTGAAATACTCTAATGTGGATGAAAATGGCAAAATTAGCCACCTTTGTCAGCAGTGCCCTTCAGATGAATGTGGTGCTGGGGTTTTTATGGCCAGCCATTTTGACAGACATTGGGCAAATGTAGTCTGACTTACTGTTTCAACAAACCAGAAGACAAGTCATTGTTTATAAGTTAATAAAAGAAACGAACTTAAAAGAAAAGAAAAGAAAATAGCCATACATTTGTTTCCATGGTGCTAAACTCAACAAAAATTTTGAAAATTCAGTAATCAAGTTCAGTTATTGTTTTCTATGCATGTCTCTATCATTTTTAAAAGCCACAACTACTAAAAGAAAGATTCTTGTATGCTTTTGAACTTGAATGTATTCATCTAAATGTTTATATCTTAGGGCTTGCAGATGGTATGGTGGTTAAGGCGTTGGACTCCCATATGGCCAACCATGGCTCAAGTCCCAGACCTGGTGACTTGCTTTCTCACTTTCTTTCTCTCTCTCTCTCTCTCTCTTTCCATCTTTCTTTTCTTCTCTCTCTCTCTCTCTCATGAGCACACGTGCCCTATAGCAAATTTTAAAAAATAATAAACAAAATTAAATAAAGAATTCTTTTTATAAATAAATATTTATATCTCTGTCCTCCCAGTGAAACAAGAGGATGAGCTGCCCATGGAGGAATAAGTACCACTGACTTCTTTATGAGTAAATATCAGCCCCCTCAACTTATTTACAGCCAAAGCTTTAAATCAGGCAACATGAATGGACATCACCACAGATGTTTCTGTCTGGTTCATCTAGAGAGCTTTTTATACCATCATACCCTGCTGCAATTTTATCTAGCTAGGAGGAACCTCGAAAATATGTCCTTCCTACTTATATGCCTTTAAGTTTCATACTAGTAAAACAAAAAAGAACATATATTTTCAAAGATCCTAAGAGTAATGTAGGTCTAAAAACTGTCAACTAGATGTTCAAATGGCTGCTAAAAAAGAAGACAGAGAATGCTCATTAAATGAGCTTCAAATGATAGATTTGTCATCACTGCCCATCAGATTCGCTCTAACGAATGTTATGAAAATGTTCAAGTACCTCTCCTCTCTCTAGTGAATTATTGGTTATTAGAAAATCCTCTGTATTCACACACACATACACAACACACACACACACACACATACACACAGAGCGAGCATTCAGATCTGCTTAGACATAAAATATTCATTTAAGAAAAGAGGAGAGGAGCCAGCAGATGGTGCAGCAGTTGTGTCATTGGACTCTCTCATAACTGAGCTCTGTTAGAGTCCTGGACCCAGTGGCTTGAAAATCACACTGGGCACGTGTGTGTGCATGCCCAAGATCTCAAGAGGAGGATGGAGGAGAAGGAATTGGGGTGTGCCCATCCCCTCCAGGGGATGATTTTTTATTTTCCCTCTCACTGTCTCTGTTTCTCTCTCCAGCAAGTGCATGTACCTACCTAAGACAAAAACCTCTCAAAAAAAAAAAAAAAAAGGAAGGAAGAAAGAAAGAAAGAAAAGAAAAGAGGAGAGCTATTAATATCTGAAATTCTGTGAAATAGTGTTATCCATCAACTATGGAGGGACTGATTTTCACCTCTATCAGTATGTTCACTTACTTTTACAGCCTTTATTTTAGTAGTAGAATGCCTGAAACGTGGCAGCTATTCATTTATGTCTGAAGTATTCCAAAGAAATGAGTGAATACATAAATAAATAAATCAAGGAAAAGCATAGGACTTTATTATGTAGAACAATAAGTTCATAGAAGAAGCAGATACATTTCTGCTGTATTAGGCAGCACTTCTGATTTAGGAAGAGTGGATACTGGTGAAACTAGTGCTTGGTTTATGGTTGGTTTGTGGCAAGTGTGACGGTGGGCAAAATAGCATAGTCCAGGATCTCTTCAGACTTCTTATCAGAAGGTGGAGGTATCCTATGGCCTTCCAGATGTTTTTTGTTTTCGTCTTCATTAACGCAACATAATTTTCCACTTAGACATCCTATTTCATGTATTTCTCCAATTCTGCATTTCTTCCTGCAATAGCCTACTACATTATTAAAGCATTTTTTGGGCCGTATCCCATCTGTACGAGGAAAGAAACATTAAGCCAAGGTTAGCTCCTGAGAGAGAGCAGAGGAGGTATGAAGTTCCCCACACGTTAAGACCTCCTGTGGTCCCAAAGTGAAACTTAGGCTGACAAGAGAAACTCAGAGCCACCTCCTGAATATAATCCTAAATTGAGGAGATTCAAAACCCTAGGCTCTCAGCCAATGCCCAGTTAGCTCTGAGAACATTACAATTTATAAAACAAAAGAGAAAATGGCTCAATTCCTGGTTATCAACTGGAACTAGGGCCCGCCCCCAGGGCTCTGTAAAAAACTGACCCTCTTCTCCAAGCTCCCATGCCAGCACTCCCTCATGTCTACCTCTGTCATGTGTCCCCAGAGCCCTAACTTGTCATCATCCCACAACGCAGAGACAAATCAACTTTTAGAAGAACATCACTGATAGGACGTTTTGTTTTGTTTTGTTTTGTTTTGTTTTGTTTTGTTTTGTTTTGTTTTGTTTTAAGGGTTTTCTTGCCACAGCAGATCATGTGTACTCACCAGAGAGGGAAAGTGAGAAATTACCCCCCCAAGGGGATGGCCACACTGCCATCCCCTCTCAAGATTCTGGGCACACACCCACACATGATGGGCATGATTTTCAAGCTACGGGGTCTGAGACTCAAACTATGTGGGGGGTCCAATGCCTTAACCACTACACCACCTGTTGGTCCACTCCACCCCCGCACAAGACTTACAAAGTTACTTCATGTTCACTGATAGAAGCAGCAGAAATCTCCCTTTGCCAAGATCTCATGGATCGTAACAATAAATGCTATTGAGAACATCTTCCTTTATTCTCCACAACCTGACTCATTCTGTTTCTCTCTCTCTCTCTCTCTCCACCTCTTGATCTCAGATAAATGTGTTCCCCAGGGGTCAAACTCAGTTCTATAAGTATTTGAATCTCTAAAGCTCGAAACTGTCTGTTCAGAGGAATGCACTGAGTTTCTAAACCTCTTGTTTCTAACCATTATTTGCCCCTTTACACAAAATGTAGGCAAGCCCATGAAATAAAGATGGAAAACAACATGTCTCTGTCTTCTATCCTAAACTTCAAAATCAGGAATCCTCTTTAAAGGTTAGAGAGGTATATTTTGAAGGCCACAAAAGCACAATATTCCTTCTTCC